CAGGGCTCCCCCGCAGTTGGGGAACCTGAGGGCAGTGAAGCTGGCCACCGTAGCCTCCACGTCGCGCAGGCGGATAACTCTCGGGAGCAGGATGTCATTGATGGCATGGACGACCTGCAGAAGAGTGCAGAGAAACACAAGGGAACACATCATATATGGCAGGGGCCCCCCCTTGATTCCCTCTGTCCTCTCACACACACACACACACACCAGGGACTCCCTCGCCCCATGGCCCCCCCACCACCACCGGGCCTATGCAAGGGAGGGACGGCCCAAACCCCTGGGTGACCCAGGCTGGAGTCTTGGCTGTCCCTGGGCCCGGAGTGCAGCACCCTCCCCCCATCCCACTCCCCCTGGGACTTACCTCCACGACGATCACTCCGACGGTTGATCTTCCCACCCCGAACTGCTGTGCCACCAAGCGGTAACTGTCCGGTGTGGCCAGCTTCCACAGCGTGATGGCGACCCTCTTCTTAACGGGGATGGGTGCCTGCAGCCGAGTGGTGGCTCTCTGCAGCATGGGGGTGTGACAGGTGCACAGCAGCAGGAAGGTCCGCTTTCTCATCCAGAAATTCCGGATCCATTGCTGGTCGTCCCATAGTCCGAGGACCACCCGGTCCCACCACTCGGTGCTGCTCTCCAAACTCCAGACAGGCCTCTCTATGGTGGGGTGCTGATGCAACATGGTTCCCTGGTGAGGGAGTCCAAGGTGATCTCTGCCTCCTGGTACATGTACACCATGGCACCGGCCTCCAGCACGAGCAGCAGGCACTTGTACAGCTGAAACAGGGGCCCGAGCAGGTACGTGGCCACCCACGGCTCCATAGCAGACAGAGCAGGGCAGAAAAAACAAAACTCAGGGAAAAGCAGTTGGGGGCCAAAGGGTGGTGTCCCCAAAACTCAGAGGGCAACCACCGACCCTGCGAAGGGTGCCAGTCCCTGGCAGAGGCCCCAAGGCACAGGAGCAGGCGACCAACGGCTGTCCATTAAGCACATGTCTGAACGGCGCTCTTGCCCCGCCTCCGGAAAGGTCTGGTGGCCTTTGCCCTCTTCAAAATGACTCCGGGCTTCTGCTTTTCTGGAAAAGCGTGCCGCCAGTGTAGACGCGCTTTTCCGGAAAAGTGCATCGTTATAACGGTAACTCCGGGGCCAATGTAGACGCTCCTTTTCCAGAAAAACTTAAAATGGAAAACTGTTCCGTTTTAAGCATTTCCGGAAAAAGCCTGGCGGCTCCAGAGCCGAATGGCCAAAGCAGAGAGATCCCTCCTGCACACAGTTAAGCAGAAGCCACGTGTGCATGCCAGGGGCTTTCCTGAATACAGAACATCTCAGCTGAGCTGCCTACAGAGTCAGGCAAGGGGTCTGGGAGCTTTAGGGCCTCAGCTCCACGGCTTCAGAGGCACCATTTCCACCCAAACAAAGGCGCAGCTGGGCTGTAGAGATACTGATGGTGTTAGAAACTCCACCTAAGACTTCCTAGCTACACAGTCCTGTTTTTTGTTTCAGCTACACCAGACTAAAGTATTTCCATACTTTCTATCTTTCCTACGCAACGGAATAGCTTGCTTTTGGGCCCTTAATAATGTCCCTTTGAAAAAGTGCCAACTCTCTTCAATTGTTTTTCCTCTTAGTCTTGCTTCCCATGGCACCTTACCTACCAGCTCTCTGAGTTTACTAAAATCCGCCTTCCTGAAATCCACTGTCTCTCTTTTGCTGTTCTCCCTTCTACCATTCCTTAGAATCATGGAATCTATGATTCTTTCACCCAAGCTGCCTTCCACTTTCATACTCTCGACTAGTTGCTCCATATTTGTTAAAATCAAATCTAGAACAGCTTCCCCCAGTATCTTTTTCAATCTTCTGATATGAAAAATTGTCTTAAATGCAGTCAAGAACTTATTGGATAGTCTGTGCCCTGTAATGTTAGTTTCCTAACATATGTTTAGATGGTTCAAGTCCCCCATCACCACCAAATCCTGAGCTTTGGATGATTTTGTTAGTTGTTTAGAAAAAGCCTCATCCATCTCTTCTACCTCGGTAGGTGGTCTGTAGCAGACCCCTAGCATGACATCACCTTTGTTTTTTTACCCCCTTTTAATGTAACCCAGAGACTCTAAACATGTTTGTCTCCTACGTCCATCTCCACTTCAGTCCAAGTGTATACATTTTTAATATATAAGGCAACACCTCCTTCCTGTTTACCCTCCCTATCCTTCCTAAGTAAGCTGTACCCTTCTATACCAATTCTCCAATCATGTGTATTATCCCACAGTGTTACAAAAGTACTAAATTTTGAATTTGACATGGACATTACTGATAAGACGCTATTAATGGTGAAAATGGCCATTGGATCAATGATTATAAATCAAATTTTGCTCTACACATGAAACACGGGGGAGGGAGGGAGTTCAGTTGGAACATTGTGTCCAGTTCTGGGCACCACATTTCAAGATCGATGTGGAGAAATTGGAGAAGGTCCAGAGAAGAGCAACAAGAATTATTAAAGGTCTAGAATACATGAGCTACAAGGGAAGACTGAAAGAATTAGGTTTGTTTAGTTTAGAAAAGAGAGGACTGAGAGGGGACATGATAGCAGTTTTCAAGTACCTAAAAGGGTGTTTCAAGGAGAAGGGAGACAAATTATTCTCCTCGGCCTCTGAGGATAGGAGCAATGGGCTTAAATAGCAGCAAGGGAGGTGTAGGTTGGACATTAGGAGAAACTTTCTAATTGTCAGGGTGGTTAAATACTGTAATAAATTGCCTACGAAGGTTGTGGAATCTCCATCACTGGAGATATTCAAGAGCAGGTTGGATAGATATCTATCAGGGATGATCTAGACGGTGCTTGGTCCTGCCGTGAGGGCAGGGGACCAGACTCAATGACCAAGAGGTCCCTTTCAGTTCTAGTATTTTATGATTCTATTATTTTAAACCCCCAAATGAAGTCAAAATATAAATGTAACTTGGAATAATTGGGACCCACAAGTGGTCAAATTCTTTTATATCTGATGCAAAAGCTGGTAGCTGCTGTAACAATATATGCACTTCTCTACCTCTCTACTAGGCTTTTGGCATAGTAATGACAAGTCCTGATTCTGCTATCACTGAAGTCTGAATTGCAAAACTCCTATTTCTTTCAATTTGAACAGGATCACAGTATCGGAATCTACTTGAATCCAAGCCATTTACAGGCAGTCCCCGGGTTACGTACAAGATAGGGACTGTAGGTTTGTTCTTAAGTTGAATTTGTATGTAAGTCGGAACCGGTACATATTGTAGGGGAAAGTCTAGCCAAACATTTCTCCAGAGCTCAGTTTTATTCTCCCACACCTCACTTCCCTCAGTCCTTTATTCTCAAGCTGAGGTGTCTGCTGAGGAAAGCCGCTCTGCGTCTCCCTGGTCTGCTGGGGGGAGAGGGGGGGCGCTAGCTTCGCGTCTCCCTGGTCTGCTGGGGGGAAGCAGCTAGTGCGGGGTTGCCTCACCCCGTTTGTAAGTAGGGATCCGATGTAAGTCGGATCCATGTAACCCGGGGACTGCCTGTATTTAATTACATGACCTGTTAGTTTTTTGTCTGGTCTGGTATTGTTCCAACCAAAACTATTTAGCTCCAGATCATAGCACCAGGCAGAGCTTTTTCCCATGCTTCCTCTCACACTTAGTATGTGCAAAACTAACTCATTATCCTCCTTTAGATCTCTTCTGAAAATTCTCCTCTGCCACGGTCCCTTCAAAAAGCAAGTGAAGTGGCTGAGACCACTGCTGATCACACTGAATTATCTTGTTTCATTATTTCATGTGATTCCCATATTGGTATGTTTCTAGCTACTTTTCAGGGACAGTTTTATTCTGTGTTTGTACAGCACTTAGCAAAATGAGGTTCTGGTCTGTAAACAGAGCTCCCAGGCACTATGGCGGTAATAATAATTAGAAATAATAATACATTAATATAGTGGTTCTCACAAAATTACAATATGCATCTAAATATTTTGACACAAATTACTGGCAAAATTCCTGACACACTCCAATGCTACTAGTATCTGTTGCGAATGAGGAATTACTAATGGCAGTCCCTCACTAAGGCCATGTCTCTACTATCACAGGCTGCCCACCTAAGTTACACAACCTCAGCTACAGGAACATCATAACTGAAGTTGATGTACTTATGTCTGATTGACATGGTATCTTCGCCATGATAAGTCAACAGCTGATGCTCTCCTGTCAACTCCTTTTACTCGTCTCATTTTGGTGGAGCACTGGGATCAATGGGAGAGCACCTGGAAGTCAATTTATCACATCTCTACTAGATGCAATAAATAGACCCCCGCTGGATTGATTGGTGTTTGTGGATCCAGCATGTACTGAAGACATGCCCTATGTCTCCATGAGCTATAGTGAAAAATTATTGCTGCAATATTGTCATGTCTGTCAAGAGGGGTTTAAGCAACAAGTTCAAATTGAATATATCTTTCTAAATAAATAAAAGCAGGCTGTAATGACGTATTTTTAGATAAAGAAGTTGCTGCCTGGATGCAGTGTATTGCTTTAATGGACTAGCCTCCTGCCTCTCCAGCTCATTTAAGTGCTACAAGAACAAAGTGATTTAAAAAAATCTTTTTGATCTCCAGAAAGTATGGTCTCCAGAAAAGTGAGTCAAAGGATTTGGCTATAGTTGTTAAGAACACACATCAGAAGAAATCAGTGCTCAGAAATTAGATTCTTGTCAGAAGAAATCAGTGCTAATTGAAGAAACTAGATTAGGTTATTATTTAACAAATAACAACAGGTGGTTTCCATAATTTAAGGAAGCAAATAAGGTGCATGTATAGCAGAGTTTTAAAGTAATATAGTTTGGCAACTGCTGAATTTTGTAATGATCAATATTCAATTTATGTAAGTACCTATTCTTTCAGGTCTGCTTGTCCTTGCTCAAAGACTTTTTTAAAAATTATAAACAATGCTACTTGTCAAACAAACAAACAAAAAAGAAATAAGAATCTTACCTGATCCTCAATTATCTTCTTTAGTGCCCTATCTGTCCTGGTAAAAATATCTGGATATGGATAAATTGGTATTCTTGCTTGCAAAAGTTCCTCCCTTTAGTAAAAAGAGAAACACTCAACATCATTACATATCAGCATTCCTTTTCCTGAAATCATGTTGGAAGCACTTATGTTATTAAGTGCTATTGAACATGCTATGCTTGTGTCTATGGTAGTCTTTTGGGGGAAATCTTCAATCAGTGCATTTAGATCAATGAAAACAACAGAGGGTGTGACAATGTAAATAGACCTCAGGAATTTTCATCACTGTCACCCAGACCAGCTCTAAATAGTGCTCATTATTGAAATCTTTACAACTGCAAGTAAAATCTGTTTCTCCATATTCCCTCTTCTGTGCTAAATATAAGGAATACCATAAACATTCCAGTAACATAAAAAGGCTACCTCTGCACTTGCAGCATGATAGTTTCAACTGTCTACCTACCACACATCACAGTAGTATCTAAAATTGTTTTCAGTATTGCTTGTAGCCATGTTGATCTCAGGATATGAGACTGACAAGGTAAGTAAGGAAATATCTCTTGTTCAACCAACCTTTGTTGGATACAAAGTCACAGGAGGGTACTGATACATAGTCTTACGACTTTTACTCAGGTTGTGAGCAGAATGGTTTTTTAAGAAATACTGTAGTGTTAGCTTTTTGGTGATGGGAGCTCTTCAGAAGGAACTGCTGCAAACAGAAAGAAGCTACTTTCTGCCTTAGACTCTTCCTCTAGAGTTAGTTCTTGGTATACAGTTGTTTCTAGGGAACCAAGTATTAATATTTGGGCTGGGATTCCCAAAACATGGCTTTGGTTGTGTATTGTTTGACTCCTATCTCAGGACTGGTTTGAAATTTGTGTAAATCAACAAGCTATATTAAGAATCAACCCAAAGTCAGTACAATTGGTGTCTCCTCAACTGGGAAACTCACCTGCAAGATGCTGTCTTCTGCTACTGCTCAGCAGAGGGGCAACAGCAGGCCCACCAGTAGGGAGGGGGCAAGGGAGGCAACTGCCCTAGGGCCCATCAATTCAAAAGAGCCCAGAGCTCCTAGTCATGACTGCTGCTACTGCAGCAGTGGCAAGAGCCCTGGACCCTTTAAATCACTGTAGGAGCCCTGTGTTCCAGGAAGCACTGAAGCTGCCTGGGGGAAAACTAGCCCTAGCCTCACCCCATCTGCCCATACCTCTGCCCTTTCTAGGCCTTCAGTTCCCCTCACAGAGTGGAGAATTTGTTCTTCCACACCTTAAAGGGAAATCTAGACATTCAGCCCCCCCATATTTCCCCCTTGTAATAAATCAGAGAACCACCCTGACACAAGGAATGGGGAAGTGGAAATGGAGAATATTTTCACTCTCTATGCTTGTATTTCAGAGACTACCTGCTCTCCTCCTGCAGTAGTGCAGTACTCTGAGGGAAGGGCTCTGTGATCTGGGAGGGACACAGGTCCTGTTACAAAGAAGTGGAAAATAGACAACCAGAAACTGCAGGTGAGACGCCAGCTGGAAGAGGGCACTCCAGCTGAGCTAATTCTCAGTGACCAGAGGGAGGCATCGCTGCTGTGGTCACAAACTGTTACACTCCCCCAAATGAAGCTATTTTGAAAAGCAACACTCCTAAGGGTATATCTACACTGTGGTGCTACTTCAGGATACTTTCAGTATCTTGAAACAGCTATTCCACTTCTTTGAAACAAGCCCGTTATTTTGAAAGATAACGGGTTCACTATTCCGACGTTCCTGTAAACCTCATTCCATGAGAATTAAGGGACGTTTCGGAATAGTGGCTTATCTCAAAATGTGGTGCTGTGAAGATGCATTTGCATAGCTCAAATTGCGTAACTTATTTCAAGCTGAGGGTGCAGTGTAGATGCACCCCTACTCTACACCTGTTTCCTTTACACAGTGAGGGTCAAGGAGTACACTGATCTAGTTGTTCTGGAGCAATGGCAGCCACTGCACACAATCATCCAAGAGTCTGTTCTTGGAACAAGGCAGCAGATTGTTTAGAGAGAGTGAATATGGCCTTTGGCTACACTGGCAAGCTCCATAATTGTAATTCACTACCAGTGCAGCTCCATCAGTAATAGCTGTAGTGTAGACAGCTTTCAGCTAGTACCACCTCTATAACTCTGAGCAGGATTGCATAAAATGGTGATTAAAAATATATTAAGTATCTCATGCTTAGATTGCAACTTACATAGTTACTACCATAGACGTTGCTGCACAAGTGGTGAATTACAGCTATAAAATTTGTCTGCCAATGAAACACACAAGGTGAGAGACCAATCAAAGGGACAAGTGCAAAGTCCTGCATGCAGCCTGGAAGAAAAGGGAAATTGCGTGAAGTTGCTTTTCTTGCATCCCTGAGCTATACTGCACAATGAAAAAGGCAGGAACTAAATGAAATAAAGGAGTTTCCTAAAAATGTAAATTGCATTATCATCCTGTAGTAACAATTAGGGATGTGAAGGACTAGTTGACTATCCCATAAGTAAATGCTTATCAGACAGTCGACAGGCTAGTTGACTAGTTGCTTCCCCCCTTCCCCCCACTTGCTGCCTCTATCAGAAAGAGACAGCAAGTGGGGGAAGAGGAAAGGGTATTTCAAAGCAGCAGTGCTGCGTGGACCCTGAGGCCAGACCCTGGGCTCCACACAGCACTGCCGCTTTGAAATGCCACAGTGCAGCCCAGGGCCAGCTGGTGTCCCCAGGCTGCACACAGTATTTCAAAGTGGCAGCGCTGTCTGGCACCCAGGATCAGCAGGGCACTCCCCCACTGATCCCAGGCTCCACGGGGTGTTGCCACTTTGAAATGCTGTGAGGAGCCTGATGTCAGGCCCCCTGCAGAGTTTCAAAGTGACAGCACCACACATTGCCCGGGAGCAGCGGGGGAGTCCCCAGCTGACACAAGGCTCCACGCGGTGCTTTCACCTTTGAAGTTTAGCAACAGCCCTTGGGTGTTGCTACACTTCAAAGGCGAACAAGTATCAGAGGGGTAGCCGTGTTAGTCTGAATCTGCAAAAGCGGCGAGGAGTCCTATTGTAGGGATAACATATCAATGTATTAAAAATGTAATTCCCCCAAGTGGAAGTGACTCCCCATAATTTGTTCCTCACAACTTAAAGTGTTTAGATTTATTATTATTATTATTATTATTTGTTAAGATTGTTAAATGTTTAGATTTATAATTATTGCCCCTCTAGAATATAATTTGTTAGAATATAATATTAGGACTATGTAGCCAGAAATAGCTTCCCCACCCCCCCACTCCTCCCACCCCGTGTCCCAGGGCATGCTCAAACTTGTGCAAGGGGCTGCTTGAAATTGACATTGCAGAGATACATTGTAACAATGCATTGTCAAGCCACTAACTCTGCTATGGGAGCCAAGCCCTGTAATTGACTAAGGGCATTGTTACATAATTGAGCCTATTCTCTTGAAAACATTGTAACTTTACTCAGCACTCAGAGAATGTTTTAAGCAATACCACCCAGAAACTTTTGTAACTACAACTTACTGCATGGGAAACATTAATTAGGGAATGTATGAGAGAGTGCTTGGACGATGAATGAATGGTTCTGAGAGGTGCCAGCCTGAGAATACAGCAACAAAGGACTGAAGAAGGTGTCAGGTGCCAGTGCAAACAAAAGGTGTCAAGTGGAGAAAACCAAGTACTGGAGGTCCACCTGATGAGATCACTGACGAGCACCTGGCAGCCACCCTAAAGACATCAGCATGACGCAGCAATTTCCCTCAGACAGAAGGAGGCCCAGGACTTGAAAAATCTTGCTCAAAGCCAAATTAATAATGAAAATTGAATTTTGGAATGTGAGAACACTATACAAAACTATTAAAACTATTCAAATAATTATAGATGCAGTGTGAGTAAGGAAATATCTTTTATCAGACCAACTGCTGTTGGTAGAAGGATAAGATCTCAAGCTTCACAGAGCTCTCCTTCAGGTCTGGAGAAGGAAACTAGATTGTCAAAGCTAAACAGAAGTCTGGAAAGATTCTTATAGGCTTATGGGCAAAAAGGCCACTAAAAATGAAGTGGGCAATTAATACCTCTAGGGTTGTAAAACACTGGAGAGCTAGTAGACAGCAGAATGTGTTACAAAATGTTGTAATGGGCCATAAAATGTGTCTTGTTTTAAATTCATGGGCTACATCTAGACTGGTATGATTTTACGCAAATGCTTTTAATGGAAAAGGTTTTCCGTTAAAAGCATTTGCGGAAAAGAGCATCTAGATTGGCACGGATGCTTTTGCGCAAAAGCACTTTTTTTGCACAAAAGCATCCGTGCCAATCTAGACGCGCTTTTGCGGAAATACTTTTAACGGAAAAACTTTTCCATTAAGTATTTCCACAAAATCATGCCAGTCTAGACGCAGCCTCAGTGTTTTGGACCACGTTCTTCTTTTTCATCTGAGTCTTGACACTGAGCACTCCTCTTCTAGCTGTAGGCTAAGAACAATCTTAATCAGTTAAACATGCAGAATTCAACAGTTGCGCAACTCCCTCTGCCTCTCCCCCGGACCAGTCACTACTGAGGATTGGACCTATAGGTGTATTTACCCTTCCTGGAGTTTGTGTTTGGGATCTGAGCATACTGACCTATTTAGGTTTATACATTAGAACTTTATTTTTCAAATGTTCCTTTTAAACTGGCTTTACTCAGCTCCTATGAGAAACATCTTTAAACAGCTTTCATAGTTGGATTACTATCCTGTCAATTATAGTTCAATGGGCATGAGTACAGATGTTCGCTATTTTTGTAATTTGTCACATCAGCAAGTTTAAGTATTGAGTTCTGGTGTATTCTCAAGGCAAGTATTGAGAAGACACTCTTGTGTGCATTGTTTTCCAATCTGTTTGAAATAACCTTTAACTTCATGCTAAGCTGGAGTTGGCTTAGATCACTGAAAAAGTTTACTGTGGCAATATTGAAAACTTACAAAGGGCAGAAGAGTCCAGGATATAGGAGACAGGATTCTCTAATGTAGGGTAGGGGGGAGACATGAGGACTTGTTCTTAATTTGGCTACTGA